CCGCAAGGCGGCCATGCCAGTATAAGGGTCATCACAGTAGCTATATTGATGTCAGGTTTCTATGGTAACTAGGGGACGCTGGCCTGTCTGAACGTCGGAATCGCCCCAGCACAGGCATCCATCTCCCGCCACCCCGCCTCCGAACAGGCCTTCATCTCCCTCCACCCCCACCCCGCTTCTGCTCCCTGGACACCTTTGCCCTTCAGACCCTCACCCGACAAGGTGCTCAAATGAGAGTAATTAGACTGGGACCTAGGCAATCCGAGGAAGTCTGCCCAGTTTAGTAGAAGAAAGCTTGTCCTGCTGTCAGGAATCATTGGACCGCTGAGTGCCAGATCAGCAGTTCAAATCCACCAGCCACTCCTCAGGAGAAATACTCTCCGATCAAGAGTGCAGTGTGTGAACGTCGCATGGGACAGTTCCACCCTGCGCTATAGGTTCGTTCGCTATGAGTCAGCATCGACCCAATGGCAGTGAGTTCATGACGAGACAGCAGGGAAATAGGATCCGTTGGCAGTGAGGGGTCCCAGAGTTCCTGGAGGTCGGCTAGCTCTCCTGAGGAGGGGCATGTGAAATATCACACAACGTGCAAAGCAGTGAACCATCTGTGGCAGGAAGCTAAGAGGCCATCTACAGTCCTGTGACAGAAGGATCCAGGAGCTCCTACAAATGCCATTGAAGGAATCTCACAGTTATTTCAGGGAGGCTGTCCTCTATGAAGCCTCAGAAAATCAAGCTCACTGCCAAGGCATTTTACTCTGATTCAAAGTGACCCTGTAAGACAGAGTAGAACTGCTCTCTTTTGGCTTCTGAGTCTTTTTTTAAAAAAAAATCATTTTCTTGGGGGCTCGTACAACTCTTATCACAATCCATACAGACATCCATTGGTCTGAAAGGCTGGGGTGGAGCCATCAGGCCCGGCTGCTCCGGTGGTGAACCAAGGGATGCAAGGCCTGTGTCACACTTCACCTAGTGTGGCAGTGGGAGCGTGACGGCCTCTTGCACTGCTTTGTCTCTGAAAGAAACCACTGAGATCAAACTGGAAAAAAAACAAAAAACAACAGCTCTGCTTCACACAATGGATGTATGAATGGCTTTTGAGTCTTTAAGGGAGTAGAAAGCTTCATCTTTTCCTGAGTTGTACCCAGTCCATTTAAACAACTTTGTGGTTAGCAGCCAATGCATGACCCATTACAGACTCAGTGCTCCTGAACCATAGAAGTTACAAAAGTTTGTGTAATTACTCAGCCACCCTGTATTCCTCAGAAAATTTCCTTACAGAGAAAAATGTGGAGCAGAAATCAAAATCATGAAAGAAATTAGGCTTACTTTTAGGATAGAGACAGATGGGGCCCCTGAGACTATGGCCCTAGTCACTCTTCTGGTCTGGAACCGTTGTGGTACAATAATAAATCATCTAAGATTTAAATGGAAGCATTTACCCACAGGCAAACTTCACAGTTTTAGGAAAGAGGGGGAATGGAAACAGGAAACACAGGGAGAAAACAGGGTACGTGATATTACGTGGAGGGGATTGCAGAGGATGAGTTGAAATAAAATATACAAGAGCTGTAGAATGTAAAACTGATGAGCTGTTCTGTAAACCTTCACTTACTTCCCAATTTTAAAAAGTTTAAGTAAATGACCTGTGAGGAAATAAATTTCTGTTCTTTGAAGTCAAAAGAAAAATGGAAAGAAAATGCCTTGCTAGATGAACATAGTAGAATATGAGAAATAAGCCCAGTGAGTGAACATTTGTATTCTGTTGACAAGGGAACTGTGGGGCTTTTAGAACTCTATGTTACTGTGGGAATACTGATTGGTACACCTTATTTACAGTGTCATTTGCCCACACCTATTAGAGGAGAAAGTCAAGTCCTGTTGGCTGTTGCACTTCTAAGTATGGACTTTAAGGCAGAATGATGAGAAAGAACAGGGCAGCCCCAAATCACCAAATTCAATAAATCTCAGAAGCATTATTTCAGAGAAATGAAAAGTAAGCATCAATAAGGAATACATATCGATACTACTTAGACTTAACTATCTGCAAAGAGATTATGTGCTTTGTTTAAGGATGTATTAAGAATAGTAAAATATGAAGCAAAATATTGGAGTGGCAAACAACGAATTCTGGACAGTGGTTCCCTCTAGGGGTGAGAGAGTGATATTTTACTTCATAGCCTTGGTTGTTTGTACATCTTTACCTATAATAGGTTTAAAAAATCCGAAATAAAACATCTTTGACATAAATAAAGTTCAATGGACTACATCTCTGATGAATAAGTAATCCATAATTCATATATACAGTGCATTCAGATACCAGTATGAATATATTCTTAACCTTCAATCCCATCACACAGTGGTAAAAAGTGTAGCCAGGGTGGTGTATTTTTATTTACTCATGGGTTTGTCCTTGCACATTGTATATGTGTTGAATATGGATTTTACTTAAATAAAGTGTTTTCATTTTCTCTGGTGTGTAACCACAAATTTGAAAACTGAAAGCAACATTCACTTTTAGCTCATAGTTCTTAGGTCAGAAATCTGGCATGGCATGATTCTTTTCTCTGTTCACGGTTTCACAAGGCTTGATCAAACACTGGATGGGTCTGCACCCTGCCTGGAGGTTTGCAGGGTGAGGAACCCAATTCCAAGATCATTCTTGCTGTTAGCAGAATTAATTTCCTTGTGGATATATCAATGCAGTTCCCTGTCTCTTGGTGGCTGGTGTAGGAAATACTCTCAGCTTCTAGAGCAGTGGTTCTCAACCTGTGGGTCACGACCCCTTTGGGGTTTGAATGATCCTTTCACAAGGGTCTCCCAATTCATAACAGTAATAAAATTACAGTTAAGAAATAGTTACAAAAATAATTTTATGGTTGGGGGGTCACCACAACATGAAGAACTATATTAAAGGGTCGCGGCATTGGGAAGGTTGAGAACCACGGTTCCAGAGGCTGTTCCCATTTCCGGTCTCATGGACACTTTCATCTTCAAGCCAGCAAAGGCATCTGCATACTTCCTGTGCTTTGAATCACTGCCCATCCCCCCTGAGAACATCCCCCTGAGAATCTCTGCCTTTAAATGGATTGTTATCTGATTATGTCATGCTCACTTAGTTAAACTCTGCCATTATAGTGTTACATAATCAGGGAAGTGATAGCTCCTCATAGACATGGGTTCCACTCATTCTCAGAGGGGAAAGTATTACTGCAAATTAAGGTGAGGATCACAGGATATCATCTTTGAATTCTAACACATGGATTTTCAGAACCTCCCCACCACTAAGTGACACATAACTTCAATCACTGATGTCTCAGTTCAAGTGGAGTCTTCTAATCCAAAGTCCAGTCCAGTGTCATAGGCCATCATTCTCTTAGGGCTGAGACAAGTACAAAGGAAGTGACTCACTCAAGGTTCTTCAGTCAGGGATGAGTCTGGTCTTCTAACTCCACTCTTCTATTCAGCATGCACATGAGAGACTCTGTTTTGGCTCTTCTAGCTAAGATATTAATGGAAAACTTTTGTTCCGGCACCAAACTGAATGATAAATAGAAATAAATAAATAGAAAGTGATATGACTATTTTGTTCCCTTTCCTCAACTCCCAAAGATAACTTCTCTCACACTCACAACTGACATCAAAGTTCAAAGGTTATGGGCATATGGTGCACGTATTTCACCTCTGCAAATGATCTATGTTGTAGTCATACTCTTTGGTAAATCAAAGTCATCACCCCTGTAGGTGGGTGGAGGTCATTGTGCCAGGGCTGACACTTGTAATAGGCATTGTGGTTATGTTCCTTCGAGTTTGCTGTCATAGTGACACCACGTACGACAGCATGAAACACTGCCCTCTCGTGTCAAATACTTGGAGCTCACTGTTACAGTCATTGTGTAGTATATTTTGTTGAAGGTCTTCCTCTTTTTATCTAACTCTACTAAGCATGGTGTACTTCTCCAGGTACTGGTCCTCCCCGCCACTCACCCCCACCCCCATGACATATTCAAAGCAAAGACACAACATTTTGTTGAACTGCTTTCTCAACAGTATTCTGCCTATACTTTTCCCCAAACAGATTTATTTTTCTTCTAGCCAGCCCTGGCATAGTCAAAAGTTTTCTTGAGCATCATAATTCAAAGACATCTATTATTTTTCAGTGTTCTTTTTTGTTGCTGAAGTTTTTCTGTTTTATTTTTTAAATATATGTTATGAAAACATAAACTGAAACTGTCTAAAACAGCCTAAAATCAAGTAGAATTTTATCTTTATTGTCTTTGCTTTTCTCTGATCCCCCGGAGATGTCACTTTTGGCACTTTGTTGTACGTTCTGTGACTGCCTCTACAGCTCTAGAGGAAGTGGCTATTCTTTTTATTTCTTGATTCTCTTGTTAAGCAGGCTTGACTGTCTCTAATGTGAAGGTTTGGAGCTCAGACCTTTCTAAGGTATGCATTAAATGTGACCCATCAAAATGCTATCTATTATACAGCAGCATTTACAGGTTAACAAGCTGGAGGAGTAGAGCAGGGAACTGTGGGCTGAAACCAAGTTTTCATAGGAAATCTAGACTTGGTTGAATGCCTTTATGCAGTTGAAAAATACTTTTAGAGCTGTCACCTTTGGAATGAAAATGAGTTTTTAAAACATCTATATTTGGAAGTGACGGGGAAGCAAGAAGGAGCTGTATTACTATTTCAGGGTCTCCCATTAAGACTTTGCTGTCAGCAAAAGAAGGTTCATCAAAGAAACGTCCCTTATGAAGTCAAGGGGATAAGAAAACTATTTGAGCTTGAGAGCATGCCGTGCAAGATCAACAGAGTGGCTCAGAAAGACCAAGTGAACACAATCAAATAAGACTCATAAGAGTCTATTCGGTGGGGAGGTTTCCAGATGGCGGTGGCGGAGCGTCTGATCGGCAGTGACTGGTGAAGAGCCCGACGAAGCAAAACAAACTCGGAGTCTCCCCTGGCCCATTTTTCACAGCACCCCGAGCCCAGCAGGAGGGTTTTGTCTTCTCTTGTTTTTAAGTAAAAACAAAAGATTGTCATCATGGGGCGGAGATCTACATCATCCACCAAGAGTGGAAAATTTATGAGTCCCACAGACCAGGCTCGAAAGGAAGCCCGGAAGAGAGAATTGAAAAAGAACAAAAAAAAACAATGCATGATGGTACGAGCTGCAGTTTTGAAGATGAAGGATCCCAAAGAGATTATCCGGGACATGGAGAAATTAGATGAAATGGAGTTTAATCCAGTGCAACAGCCGCAGTTAAATGAGAAGGTGTTGGAAGACAAGCGTAAAAAGCTCCGTGAAACCTTTGAATGTATTCTACGGCTCTATGAAAAGGAGAATCCGGATATTTACAAAGAATTGAGAAAGCTGGAAGTAGAATATGAACAGAAGAGGGCCCAACTTAGCCAATATTTTGATGCTGTTAAGAATGCTCAACATGTGGAAGCTGGGAGTATTTCTTTGCCAGATATGCCCCATGCTCCTTCCAACATCTTGATCCAGGACATTCCATTTCCTTGTGCTCAGCCACCCTCCGTCCTTATGAAGACTTCAGCCTATGGACCTCCAACCCGGGCAGTTTAAATACTTCCTCTTCTTGGACATGGTTTTCCAAGATTGCCCCCTGGCAGAAAATCTCCTGGTCCTCCTCCAGGACCCCCTCCTCCTAAGTCTTGCAGATGTATGGCCGTAAAGTGGGCTTTGCTCTAGATCTAACCTCTAGGAGGCGTGATGAAGATATGTCATATAGTCCCGACCCTGCTCAGAGAGGTCATGATGTTTCTAGCACCAGTGAAGATGATGGCTATCCTGAGGATATGGACCAAGATAAGCATGATGACGGCACTGATGACAGTGATACTGACAGATCGGATGGAGAAAGTGAGGGGGGTGAATTTGTGCATCGGGATGGTAATGAGAGAGACAACAATGAGGAAAAAAAGTCAGGGCTGAGTGTACGATTTGCAGATATGCCTGGAAAATCAAGGAAGAAAAAGAAGAACATGAAGGAGCTGACCCCTCTTCAAGCTATGATGCTTTGGATGGCAAGTCAGGACATTCCTGAGGAGGGACGAGAACTAGAGGAATTTTCAGAAGATGACGATGAAGATGGTTCTGAAGCAGATAAACAATCACAAAAACAACATAAAGAGGAATCTCTTTCTGATGGCACAGCTACCGGTTCTTCACAACAGCAGGCGCCTCCCCAGTCTGCTCCTCCTTCTCAGATGCAAGCACCTCCAATGCCAGGACCACCACCTCTAGGACCACCGCCTGCTCCACCTTTAAGGCCACCGGGACCACCTACAGGCCTTCCTCCTGGACCACCACCAGGGGCTCCTCCATTCCTGAGACCACCTGGAATGCCAGGACTTCGAGGGCCTTTACCCGACTTTTACCTCCAGGACCACCCCCTGGGCGCCCTCAGGGCCCCCCGCCAGGCCCTCCTCCAGGTCTGCCTCCTGGCCCCCCTCCTCGAGGTCCTCCACCAAGGCTGCCTCCCCCTGCACCTCCAGGTATCCCTCCAACTGGTCCTGGCATGATGCGCCCACCTTTGGTGCCTCCACTTGGACCTGCCCCACCTGGGCTTTCCCACCGGCTCCTTTACCAAGCCCTGGGGTTTTGAGTGCCCCACCCAACTTGATTCAGCGGCCCAAGGCGGATGATCCAAGTGCAGCCACCATTGAGAAGAAAGCGACCGCAACCCTCAGTGCCAAGCCACAGATCACCAATCCCAAAGCGGAGATCACTCGATTTGTGCCCACTGCGCTGAGAGTCCGTCGGGAGAGCAAAGGGGCTCCTGCCGCTCCCCAAAGGAAGTCAGAGGATGATTCTGCTGCACCTCTTGCCAAAGCAGCCCCCAAATCCGGTCCTTCTGTTCCCGTTTCCGTACAAACTAAGGATGATGTACATGAAGCTTTCATGAACGAGATGGAAGAGCTACTGTGACAGCTTTAGCTTCCAGAGCTGGCATCTGAAGCTGTTAGAGTTATTTTTAATATTTTCTTGTAAATATTTTATAATATTTTGTCTGTAGTGAAATGGATCCAATGTCATTTCCTATTACAAAACAGGATTGTGGGAAGAAAATGTACAATTCTTTGATTAAAATTATTTCCTGCTAAAAAAAAAGTCTATTCGGTATGTGTAATATACTCGGTATATGTAACATGAAAAAATGATAATTTATTGAACACCTATCATTTCCTAGGCATGTCAATCTTCTTTATTCATTGTTCCCTTTTGTTATATTTAAGGGACAATTGAAAAGACCATGGTTAAAGTCAGGTGCACTTTCATCCTCAAGGTGACCTCTTTGCTATCTGGCACTTTCAAGGGGTCTGTGCACAAGACGTGCTCAATGCAATAACACTGTTGTTAGGTAGTATCGAGTTGGTTCTGACTCTATGTACAAAAGACTGAAACACTGCCCATCCTGCACTATCCTTGTAATTGTAGTCGTATATTTGAGCCCATTGTTTTAGCCACTGTGTCAATCCAGCTCATCAAGGGTCTTCCTTTTTTCCGCTGTCCTGCTACAGTTTCTTCTTTTTATTGGGGGCTCACACAACTCTGATCACAATCCATGCATGCTTGAATTGTGTCAAGCACATTTTTTACATTTGTTGGCATCATCATTTTCAAAACATTTGCTTGCTATTTGAGCCCTTGGTATCAGCCCCTCATTTTTTTGCACTCCCTCCCTCATGAACTCCTGGTAATTTATAAATTACTATTATTTCATGCCTTACACTAACCAATGTCTCCCTTCTCCCTCTTTGCTGTTGTCTGTCCCCTGGGAAGGGGTTATATATAGATCATTGTGATTAGTTTCCCATTCCCCACCCCCTTCCGCTTCCTCTCCTGATATCGCTACTCTCAATATGGGTCCTGAGGCGTTTATCGGTCCTGGATTCCCCGTGTTTCCAGCTCTTAACTGTACGTGTACATGCTCTGGTCTAGCTGGATTTTTAAGGTAGAATTGGGATCATGATAGTGGGGGCGGGGGCAGAGCATTAAAGAACTATAGGAAAGTTGTGTGTTTCACTGTGCTATACTGCACCCCGACGGGCTCTTCTCTTTGTGACCCTTCTGTAAGAGGATGTCCAATTGTCTACAGATGGGCTTTGGGTCTCCACTCCACACTCCCCCTCATTCACAATGATATGATTTTTTTTCTTCTGGGTCTTTGATACCTGATACCTGATTCCATTGACACCTCAGGATCACACCGGCTGTTGTGCTTCGTTCATGTGGAGTTTGTTGTTTCTCAGCTAGATGGCCGCTTGTTTGTCTTCAAGCCTTTAAGACCCCAGACGCTATATCTTTTGATAGTCAGCACTACCAGCTTTCTTCACCACATTTATTTATGTACCCATTTTTTCTTCAGCGCTTGTGTCGGGAAGGTGAGCATCACGGAATGCCAGGTTATTAGAAAAAAAGTGTTCTTGCATTGCGGGAGTACTCGAGTAGAGCTGCCCTTCTACTTTACTAAGCACGATGTCTCTACTGACAACATGCCCAAAGCATGTGAGATGAAGTTTCAGCATCCCTGCATCTAATGAGCACTCTGAACACTTCTTCCAAGACAGGTTTGTTCTTCTAGCAGATTGATTTGTTCTTTTAGTACTTTCAATAGTCATCGTCAGCATCACAATTCAAAGGCATCAATTCTACTTCATTCTTCCTTATTCAATGTCCAGCTTTCAATACCATGGCTTGGGTCAGGCACACCATATTTCTCAAAGTAACATCCATGTTTTTCAACACTTTGAAGAGGTATTGTGCAATATATTTATCCAATGCAATGTGTCTTTTGATCTCTTGATTGCTGCTTCCATGACCATTAATTATGGATCCAAGCAAGAAGAAATCCTTAATGACTTCAATCTTTTCTCCATTTATCATGATGTCACCTATCCAGTTGTGAAGAATTTTTCTTTACATTGAGTTGTAATCCATGCTGAAGATTGCAATCATTTATCTTCATCAGCAAGTGCTTCAAGTCCCTTCACTTTCTGCTAGTAAGGTTGTGGCCGCTGCTTATCCTAGGCTGTTAATAAACCTTCCGCCAATCTTGATGCCACACCCTTCTTCACATAATCCAGCTTCTCTGATGAATTGCTCAGCCCACAGAATGAATAAGCATGGTGAAAGGATACAAGCCTGACACACACTGGCCGTACTTCTTCCAAGACAGATTAGTTGAGAAGAAGGATATCCATAAGTTGTTATGGTTCACACAGTCAAATGTATTTGCATAGTTAAAAAAACCAACATAGGTATAGTTTTGGTGTTCCCTGAGGACTTCATTCTAATAATCTGACACTCTGAGATGCTCACCTTCCAGACACAATCGCTGAAGACAAAGCAGGTGCAAAATGTGGTGAAGACAGCTGGTGGTGGGTGGCTATCAAAAGATATAGTGTCTGGGGTCTTAAAGGCTTGGAGATAAATAAGCGGCCATCTAGCTGAGAAAGAACAAAGTCCACATGGAAAAAGCACACCAGCCCATGTGATCATGAAGTGTCGATGGGATCAGGTATCAGGCATCAAAGACTCAGAGCAAAAAAATCATAATGTGAATGAGGGTGGGGGAGTGCAGAGTGGAGGCCCAAAGCCCATCTGTAAGCAATTGGACATCCCCTTACAGAAGGGTCGTGGGGAGAAGACAGGCCAGTGAAGGTGCAGTGTAGCACTGATGAAACATACAGCTTTCCTCTGGTTCGTTAATGCTTCTCCCCCCTGCCCCACTATCATGAGCCTAATTCTACCTTACAAATCTGGCTAGACCAGAGCATGTATATGGGTACAGATAAGAGCTGGAAACACAGGGATTATATTGCAGATAAGCTCCTCAGGACCAATATTGAGAATGGCCATACCAGGAGGGGAAGGGGAAGGTGGGGGGAGAAAGGGGGAACCAATCACAATGAACCAAATCCCAGGGGGATAGACAATACAAAAGGGGGTAAAGGGAGACATAGGACAGTGCAAGAAATTTAAAAAATCATATTATTTGTAAATTATCAAAAATTCATGATGGAGGGAGCAAGAGAGGTGGGGGCTAAGGACTCAAGTAGAAAGAAAATTATTTGAAAACAATGATGGCAACATATGTACAAATGTTCTTGAGACAATGGACATATGTATATGTATGGATTGTGATAAGAGTTGCATGGGCCTCCAATAAAATGATTTTTAAAAAACAGGTAAACATATTTCTGGCATCTTTTGCCTTCAGTCAAAATCCATTTGATATCAAAAATGATATCTCTTGTTCCACATCCTCTTCTGAATCTGGCCTAAACTTCTGACAGCTCCCTGTTAATGCACTGCTGCAACTATTGTTGGACGATGTTCAGTAGAACTTTGTTTACATGTGTTATTAATGTTCTGTTATTCTCTTGGGCCATCTTTATTTGGAATGCAATAATAACTCATTCAATTTCCTCCCTACTGCTTCCCTTGGTGTTGGTTGTACGTCCAAGTATAATGAAATTCTTGATAACTTAAATCTTTTCGCCATTCATCATGGTGTTATCTGTAGGTCCACTTGTGAGGATCTTGGTTTTCTTTATGTTGGGATATAATCCATGCCAAAGGCAGTAGTCTTTAATGTTTCTCAGTAAATGTCTCAAGTCCTCTTCGTCTTTTGGAAAGCAAGATTGTGTTGTTTGTATACCAAAAGTTGTTCATGAGACTTCCTACATCCTAATGACTCATTCATCTTCATATAGGCTAGAGTCTTGGATTATTTACTCAGCCTATAGATTGAATAATTATGATGAAAGGATAAGGATAACACCCTGATGCACGTTTTTTCTTGATTTTCAAACAGTTTTCCTTTGCTCTTCTCAAATGACTGACTCTTGGTCCATGTACAGGTTCTGCACGAGCACAATCAATTGTTTTAGAATCCCCACTCTTCTCAGCGTTATCCATTGTTCATTATTAGCCACATAACCGAATGCCTTTGCATAGTCAATAGAACACAAGTAAACATCTTTCTGGTATTCCTTACTTTCAACCAGGATCTGTCTGACTTTAGCAATGATACCCCGCATTCCATATCTCCTTGTGATGCCAGCTTGAATTTTTGACAAATCCCTGTCAATGCACAAATACTGACCAAATGATTTTTAATTATCTTCAGCAAAATTTTACTTGTGTAAAATTGTATGCCCTCTTATTCTGGGTACACAATCTGAGAATAGCTGAGTTTCTGGAGTTCTCCTCTCTTGCAGGGAAACTTTGTCATGACTATTATGAAAGGAATGTTATTGCTAGAAGAGAGGTGAACAGAGCATCAAAGCCCACATGGAAGAAGCACACCAGCCTGTTTGAGCATGAGGTGTAGAAGGGAACAGGTATCAGACATCAGAGAACAAAAAAATCATATCATTGTAAATGAGGGTGAGTGCAGAGTGGGTACACAAAACCCATCTGCAGGCAACTGGACACCCCCTAACTGAAAGGTAGCTGGGAGGAGATGAGCTAGTCATGGTTCAGGGTAGCAACAATGAAACATACAACTTTCCTCTAGTTCTTAAATGCTTCCTCCCCCCACTATCATGATCCCAATTCTACCTTACAAATATGGCTAGACCAGAGGATGTACACTGGTACAGATAGGAACTGGAAACACATGGAATCCGGGCCAGATGACCCCTTCAGGACCAGTGGTGAGAGTGGCGGTACCTGGACGGTGCAGGGAAGGTGGGGTGGAAAGGGGGAACCGATTACAAAGATCTACATATAAACTCTTTCCTGGGCGATGGACAACAGAAAAGTGGGTGAAGGGAGATGTCAGACAGTGTAAGATATGACAAAATAATAATAATTCATAAATTATGAAGGATTCATGAGGGAGGGGGGATGGGGAGGGAGGGGAAAAATGAGGAGCTGACATTAAGGGCTCAAGTAGAAAGCAAATATTTTGAGAATGA